CCCAGGGCCTGTGCTTGGGTGGTGCCACTCCCTCCTTCCTCTCAGCTCCCCGAACAAGGGGACTTGTCCACAGGTGCCCTGCACTTCTAGACTTTGCTGGAAGATTCTGGAGCCTTGAATTTCCTCTCCAGTTGGCCCTGACCCACTCTCAGGCCTGCCTGAGCCTCCTCCCTGGGGCTGTGCTCCAGAGAAAAGGTCATGCTGCCAGGAAGCACACACCTCATGGTGGGCAGGGACACATGTTTGCAGGGAGAGTGGGCAGAGCTTGGATGTAGGCGCTGGGGCCCATGTGGAGTGTTCAAGGGCCCTGAGGCTTAGGAGGGAGCCAGTGGGACTGGGTATGAAAGTCTCCTTTCTAACCCAACTTTGCAGGTTATATGTCAAGGTAGGAGGAAAGAAAGGCATTATTTAAGTTTATTTGCTTTTCTTAGAAGTCATGTGTTTGGACGTTTAGCCACACAGTATGTGAGTTTCTATGTGTCTTGGTTCAGGGCCTGCATGTCCCAGGGTGGGCCTGCACCTAGCAGGTCACTGCAGAGCCCCTGAGGCTGCCAGGCCATTCTGCCCAGTGTCTGTGACAGCGCTCTGCCTCGTCCCTCCATATGTTCATATTCCTCACGTGTTCGTGCACATGTGTGTACTACCGTTCCCATGACCATGGGTGGGACAGGTTACTCATGCACAACTGATGGATCGGTCAGGGCTCTTCCTCTGCAAGTGACAGGAAACCAAATCGTCACTGACTTGAGCCAAAGAGAATATTGTGGTTCAGGGAACCTAAGTCAGGCTTTTGCCTCTCTGGCCTCCCGTTTCTCTCTCTAGTACCCGCCCACCTCTATGCCAGCTCCACCCACCTCCACGCTGACTCTGCCCACCTCTATACAGGCTTCTACCTCCTTGCAAGCTCCCACCTCCATGCAAGCTCCCACCTCCAACAGGCTCTGCTCACAGACAGGTGCTGCTCATATGAGTATGGGGTGGCCATCCCTGCAGTTCCAGGGTTGCCTCCCTCCCAGGTCCAGTTACCAAGGGAAAGTGCTCCTTTCTCAGTCGGGAGGTCTCCTGGCGTCCCATGGGCTCTGGCTGGTTCCGTGGCCATCCTCCAATGGCTGTGCCCTGGGAGAATACGGCCAGTGTTTGGCCTCGGCATCGGGTCTACAGTCTTCATCTGTGAGCTAAGAGTGGGTGAATTGGGTACCATTGTCAGAAGGAGGAGAGTGCCTCTTGGAGAACCCTTCCCTCAGATGACCCCAAGAGGGCCCCTTTTCTTAGAGCTTTTAGGCAACATCTTCCCTCTGGGCTGCAGCTGAAGGGCCTGCTCCCGTGATGCTCCGCGTGCTCACCGATGCCAGAGGGCTTCGGGCCAGCGGGAGGCGTCTGCTGCCTGGCCTGCCTGAGCCCTGGGCCTCCCCCACGACCACTGACTGTTCCGAAGCAGAGATTCGACATGCGCTCAGCATCCAGACGTCGATTCAGAGCTGTGGACCCAGCAACAAAAGCAAGATCAAGCCCTGACCTCCTCGGAGCTTGCATTCTAGTGGGAGGAGGAAGTCACATGAACAAGACTTCCGGGCTCATTTATTAAAGGAAGGAAGGAAGGAAGCAGTGTATGGGGTTGGAGGTGCGAGGCGGTGGCTGCTATGGGAGGCTGGGCAGTGCCGGCCTCTCTGTAGGACGCATAGACACAGCACCTGAGGGAGTCCTATGACATCTGAGGGACAAGCATTCTGGCCAGAGAGGACAGGAAGGCAAAGGCTCCGAGGCAGAAAAGTGCTTAGTGGAAGGGCAGCATGGGAGCCGGGGGCTTGGGTGCTCTGGAGAGGACAGAGACGGTGTCAGAGAAGGACTGAAACCATTGACTAGAACACCCAGTGGATGCATCGTCTGCTGTGTGAACCTGTCTCAGCAAGGCTTATTTACCGGGGGAAAGCAAAGCAGAGCAGCAGGGTGGGGAGGGGACACGGGAGAAGCTGCCGTAGTGGGGCCTCGATGGCCGCTGCGAGGACTTTGGCTTGTACACAGAGGGAGCCCTCGGAGCAGAGGAGCGAGCGATGGAACCTGCTTTACACTGCCACAGGCCCGCGCTGGCGGCTGGGCAGTTACAAGGAGAGGGGATGAATGAGGACGCGCCTGCTGTAACCCAGGGAAGGTGATGGAGGCCTGGACCAGGGCGGGGAAGGAGTGGCGAGACGTGGGAGAGTATGATGGGTTGACAGTGACTGCTGATGGGTTGGGGTACGGGACGTTGAGGGAAGGAGAGGGGTCAAGACCACACTGGGGAGTTTGATGTAAGGGCTTGGGACATTCAGCCGCCATCTGCTGGGGTGGGAGGCTGGGCAGCATGTCGTGGCCACGTTAGTTCTGGGGTGCGTCTCAGACATCCGGAGGGCGGTGCTGAGTGCGAGGTGGTGTACAAGTCAGGTTCTGGGACAGGCCAGGCTGGAGGAGTGTGAGCGTCGAGAGCCGGTAGATGGTCCATCCCTGTCTGCTTCTCAAGCTCCTGGAGCAGGACCTGGCCCAGAGCTGGCGATCACGGTTCTGGTGGCATCATAGGTGACGACCATTCCTGCGTCCAAGGGCTTCCTGAGGACCAGGCACTATGCTCACCCGGACCCACCTCCCCATCGGCCCACAGGCCGGGGCTGTTAGAGAGCCATCTTCAGATGCAGAAGCTGAGGTCCAGAGAGCTCGTCAGCCACCCGGCCTCCAAGGGTTCCCGCTGCTGGTTTTCCCTCGTGTTGATGGGATCATTAGACTCCCTCCCGCCCACACCATGCCCACAGCCCACGCTGACGCCATGCCACGCCCCTCTGTTGCAGCCTGTGACCAGCTGGCCCTGGGCGTGGTGGCCATCTTCGGGCCCTCGCAGGGCTCCTGCACCAACGCCGTCCAGTCCATCTGCAACGCCCTGGAGGTACCCCACATCCAGCTGCGCTGGAAGCACCACCCACTGGACAACAAGGACACCTTCTACGTGAACCTCTACCCTGACTACGCCTCCCTCAGCCACGCCATCCTCGACCTGGTGCAGTACCTGAAGTGGCGGTCGGCCACCGTGGTCTATGACGACAGCACAGGTAGGTGGCCACGCCTGGCTGGGACCAGTCTCTGTTCTGTCCACCCAGCACATCTGCCCTGGGGACGCACCTGACCTGCACCGGGTCACCCCAGCACGTGGTCCCTGCACTCACACACCTGCCCCCACACCAGCCACCTCACACCTGCTCACACGAGCGCTCAGCTCTGCACTCCACACCCACCCCGTGCTCACACCTGTATAGCCACACCCACACCCACACCTGCCTTCTCTCCTACACTCACACATCACCACCTGCAACACTTTCCACTCACGCTTGCACACTGACACATGCAGTGTTATGTCCTGCTGGTTAATGTGTACATTCTGGAGCCAAAACAGCGGGTTCAAATCCCAGCTGTACCACCAGTGTGCACCTCAGTTCCCTCATCTGTAAAATATGAACATCAAAGGCATAATGCATGCAAGCACTCAGCATACAGTGAGTGCCCCCCGAGGAGTAGTTCTGCTCACCCTCACACCTGCACTCAGCCACACGCATCTCCACCTACATCCACACCCAAGACAGCTGCACACCCAGCTGTGCTCACACACACGCATTCCCGGCCCTGCTCACTTGACTGCTGACCCCAGCCAAGACCTGTTCCAGGGGAGCACAGACAGGTCTCTGTTCTGTCTGTGGAGAGCCAAGGGGCTATGGCACGTTGTGAGTGCCTGGCGAGCTCAGCGTCGTGGAGGGACACGAACAGGTCTCTGTCCTGTCTGCAGAGAGCCAAGGGGCTGTGGCACGTTGTGAGTGCCTCGCGAGCTCAGCGCCGTGGAGGGACACGAACAGGTCTCTGTCCTGTCTGCAGAGAGCCAAGGGGCTGTGGCACATTGTGAGTGCCTGGGCATGCCTGGGGCAGAAGAGGGTGAGACGAGCCACAGAGGGTGCAGACCACTGCCCAGATCCTGCTTCACCCTGGTTGTCCTCGGGCACAGACCCAGAGCCCCCCAGGGTAGAGGTGGCATGCTGCCAGCTGAGGACATGAGCAAGACTGTGTTGCCCACCACGAACCAGGGGGTGCGGAGTGGCCTCATCTAATTCACGCAGAGCTTGGAATAACTCTGTGAAGTGATAAATTAGAGGTGAGGAAACTGAGGCTCCGTGCGGTGACATGCCCTGCCCAGCTAATAGACGTCGGATCCGCCATGCGCCTACAGGCTGTTCGAGCCCAAAGCCTGCACTCTTAGCAAGCATGAGCTTCTCTTCTTTCTTCCCAAAGACGTGAGTCCCAAGACTTCTCTTAGCCCAGCCTCTTAAGAGAGAATGACCTTGGCGAGTCACTTAACCCGTCTGGCCTCACTCTTCCTGTGTGTCAAGAGCTGCAGCGTCCAGCTTGAAAGAGCCCTCCAGCCCTCAGCTGCCGCTGCTTCAGTGTCAGCTCTTGATTACTCCTAATGGGGGTGGGAATAGCAACGATTCCCCTGGAAAGGATGATCAGAAGGTTGTTTATTTAGCCGGGTTTCACAAGCGTCTCCGCAGTTCCTGCTCTTCCCAAGGCACCAGACAGGAGATCCTTGCAGGCAGGGACCCTCCTTCCTGCTACGCGGCCCCAGCATGAGGGCTCCGCCATTGAGGGGTGTACCTGCCCTGTTCTCGGTGTGCGTGGTGTCTGCAGCACCGTGCTGCCTGAGTACCTCTCTGGACAATGGCTGTCTGGGAGGCTGTTTCTGTCACCAGCCTCCAGGTTTAGCGCTGAGCCGGGTACAATGTAGATGCTTCTAAATGCCAGTTGAACTGAATTGAATTGGAGTGGATCGAATTGAATTGAAAATCAAATCGAATTAAACTCTAATTAAATATCACAGGAAAGAGTATACGGGCGAAGAAATGGAGGTGTTGTTATCCCATTTTCTTGTGAGTAGTTAATCATATTATAGGGGAATGGGTAACCACCCAAAGGTCACTAGTAATTCGAAGCCAGCAGAGCTAAGAATCCAATGACACTCACTTGAGGCCTCCGGGAGAGGACACCCTGGGGCTTGCTGGGTCCAAGCTGCCTTAGCAGAGGGGCAGAGGTTTGAGCTGGGCCTGGAGGAAGGGTGGACAGGGAGAGGAGCCATTAAGGCGTTGCAGGGGGAGTGGCAGCGTGAGCAAAATTAAGGAGGTGGGGCTGTGTGGAGCAGGCCTATCAAGAGAACAGCCTGGCAGGGGTGAGGGTTCAAGCCTGGAGGGCAGGAGAAGGTGTACCTGGCTGGACGAGGTTTTGAGGTCTCGTCTCGCAGTTCAGGCTCATCTTGAAAGCAGCTGAGGTCCACCGGCTCTCCTTATCAAAGGAGAACCATCATGAAAGCCAAGACTTAGCAGGTAGTTGCAGAGCAAAGCCCAGGCAGAGTCAGCAGAGCCTGCAGCAAGAAGGCCAGCGGAGGTGGCTGTGTTCGGACCCAGGAAGCCTGAATTTGAGAGGTTGCTTGGAAGAGAACTTGAGCCAGAATGACAGAGAAGAAATGGATGTGCACAGGAGGAGGTTAAGACTAGGTAATGGGGCCAGCCCTGTGGCCTGGTGGTTAAGGTGGCGGGGCTCAACATGGCCGACTGCACAGTTCAGGTCCCTGACCCAGTGGCTTGAGTGTTAGGTGCGTGTGCGCGTGTGCAAAATCCCGACAGGAGGGAACGTTAGGAAAGGGATTGTGGCGTGGCTTCCCCCTGGAGGTGCCTTCTCCTCTCTCTCTCTCTCTGACAATGACACATGCCATCTAGGGAGGGAGGGAAGGAAGGAAGGAGGAGAGGAAGGAAGGAAGGAGGGAAAATCGATATAGGCGGGACGTCATGAACAGAGTGGCCAGAACAGACACTGGCGCGATGCACTGGCCAGCAGTGCTGGGGCCTCCGGCCGGATGGGAGTTAGGGGAAGCAGTTCTGCAGAAGAGCGGACACTGGTGCATGGTAGGACCACAGTCATGAGCCACTCCAAGCTAGGCCTTTCTCTCCCCAAGGTCCCTGCTCTGACCATGTGTCCACATCACTGAATTCTTCTCTGCTGCCTGGAGGGACCACCCCCCAGGGCGGCACCCACCCCCTGCATGCGGTGAGCTTCTCAGGAGGCAGGGTAACCACATCCTCATTTCTTCATCCTCACCAGGGCCTGCCACACTCTTCCCTATGATTTAATTAGAGGTTGAGTCAGTTTCCAGTTTGATTTAATCCAGCTCAGTTTAGTTCAATAAACGGTTTTTTTTTTTTTTTTTTTTGTAAGGGGGTTTTTTGTTTATGGTTTGCCAGAGAGACAGAAAGCGAGAAATCTCACACACACACACACACACACACACACAGGGAGGATGACCACGCCACAATCCCTCCTCCTTCTTTCTCCTCTCAGGATCTTGGGCACACGTGCCCCCGTGCCCGGCGTGAGTTGTAAGCCACCGGGTCCAGGACTCGCACTGCGGTCGACTTCGTGGGAGTCAGTGATGTAACCATTACACCATGCACTGGTCCCTCACCGGGGGGCAGGTTGTTCAGAAGATGATGGCTACCGGAGATGTGGGGCTGGCTTCCCTCAGCAGTGACACGGCTTTGGTGGTGAGCAGTGGGAGCTAGAGGCCTGCTCCAGAGTCAGGGTCCCTCACGGAGCAGGACAGCCGGTAGCCCACCAGCCCACAGTGGGCAGACCGCTGTAGAAGGCTCTGGCTGTGTTTGCTTTGGGGTTGTGTCCACGAGGACACCCTGGCTGCAGGGATCAGACTAGCTAACGCAAATCAACTCCAGCAGGGGCTCGTACTTACCTCCCCGACGGGAACCTGTAAGTGGGCCTTTCCAAGGTGCTTGTGCAGCTTGACAAAGTCAGGGAGCCAGGCCAATATTGCCACAACTCTCTGGGCTTTCCCCTCATGGGCACAAAAGGGTTGCCGCTGCTCCAAGCATCAATTCCTCACACGATGAAACCCCAATAAGGAAAGAAGGAGGTAAAAAATAACAGTATTTTTCTTACTATGACTCATGCCTTTTATCAATGAAGAAAATCTACCTTGGAACCTTCCTGCCCTTTTTTTTCTTTTAAATATTTTTGCTGTACGGTGCGTGTGCTCACTGGAGAGACAGAAAGCAAGAAACCACCCCTCCCGGGGGCATGGCCACACCACAATTCCTTCTCCTCTGTTCTCCTTTTGGGATCCTGGGGACACACACATGCACCCAGTGTGAGTTAAGCCGCTGAGTCTAGGACTGGAACTATAGTTAACTATGTGGGAGGCCAGGGACGTAACCATTACGCCATCTGCTGCTCCCCACCTTGGAACCTTCTAGAAGACAGCTCGCAAGGTCCTTGCCTACTACTCTAAACATCGTCAAATGGGGATGACATCGCCGTTGACTGGCTCCTACTTGGCACATGGCACCCGGTAAAATCATGGTCCTCTTGCATCATGGAAGGAGATGCGTGACCACCCCTTGTACATTATGCCTTGTCACAACTACCCTCACAACTCAGTGATTCAGACAGTAAGCATTGTTTAGCTCACAAGTCCAGCCATTTACTGAGCTGAGCACAGGTAGGTGGTTTCGCTGGTCTCCGCCGGCACAGCTGGTCTCAGCTGGGACGACAGGCATCACTGCTGTGTCCAGCAGGCTAGCCCAGGCGTGGCCTCGGGACAGTGGCAGAGCGGGAGCGAACACACCTGCGCAGATCCTCTTCAGGCGTCTGACCTCATCATGCCTGCTCGTATCCCAGTGGCCAAAGCAAGTCGCGGGCCGAGCCCAGTTGGAGGGCATTGCAGAGTTACATGGCAGAGGGCATGGTGTGGGAGGGCCAAGCATTGCGGTCATCAGTACAGTCTGCACGATAGGGTGCAGGCGGAGGAGGCAGCCAGTGCCTGCCCTGCAAGCTCTGCCCGTCTCCGCTCTGCTAACCCAACCTGTGCACAGAGACAGACTCGTATCGAGGGGGAGAGGGAGGGGTTTAGACAGACCTGGGTGGAGAAAGAGTCCCTTAAATAGGAGCCAAAAGACTGGGTCTCTCATTCGATCCCATGCTGCAAAACCTCGTGAGGGTCACTTCTCTGTGGTCCTCAGTTTCTTTATCTGTGACACTGGAATGAAAATGTCTGTTCTACATGCCTTCCAGGATTGGGAGGTGGATAAATAGGGTAATGAATGCAGAAGTGCTTTGTAAGTGAAAAGCATGATTCCAGCAACCATGATTCACTGCAGATATTTTGAGAGAGATTGATTAGGGAGGCAGCCAGGAGGGAAGGCTGGTCTCAGGCAGAGAGCCTTGTCCTCCGCGGAGAGGGCCGCGCCATCTGCTGCTCCCCACCTTGGAACCTTCTAGAAGACAGCTCGCAAGGTCCTTGCCTACTACTCTAAACATCGTCAAATGGGGATGACATCGCCGTTGACTGGCTCCTACTTGGCACATGGCACCCGGTAAAATCATGGTCCTCTTGCATCATGGAAGGAGATGCGTGACCACCCCTTGTACATTATGCCTTGTCACAACTACCCTCACAACTCAGTGATTCAGACAGTAAGCATTGTTTAGCTCACAAGTCCAGCCATTTACTGAGCTGAGCACAGGTAGGTGGTTTCGCTGGTCTCCGCCGGCACAGCTGGTCTCAGCTGGGACGACAGGCATCACTGCTGTGTCCAGCAGGCTAGCCCAGGCGTGGCCTCGGGACAGTGGCAGAGCGGGAGCGAACACACCTGCGCAGATCCTCTTCAGGCGTCTGACCTCATCATGCCTGCTCGTATCCCAGTGGCCAAAGCAAGTCGCGGGCCGAGCCCAGTTGGAGGGCATTGCAGAGTTACATGGCAGAGGGCATGGTGTGGGAGGGCCAAGCATTGCGGTCATCAGTACAGTCTGCACGATAGGGTGCAGGCGGAGGAGGCAGCCAGTGCCTGCCCTGCAAGCTCTGCCCGTCTCCGCTCTGCTAACCCAACCTGTGCACAGAGACAGACTCGTATCGAGGGGGAGAGGGAGGGGTTTAGACAGACCTGGGTGGAGAAAGAGTCCCTTAAATAGGAGCCAAAAGACTGGGTCTCTCATTCGATCCCATGCTGCAAAACCTCGTGAGGGTCACTTCTCTGTGGTCCTCAGTTTCTTTATCTGTGACACTGGAATGAAAATGTCTGTTCTACATGCCTTCCAGGATTGGGAGGTGGATAAATAGGGTAATGAATGCAGAAGTGCTTTGTAAGTGAAAAGCATGATTCCAGCAACCATGATTCACTGCAGATATTTTGAGAGAGATTGATTAGGGAGGCAGCCAGGAGGGAAGGCTGGTCTCAGGCAGAGAGCCTTGTCCTCCGCGGAGAGGGCCGAGAGTCTCTGGTCTCCTTCGGGAATACACTGATGGCAAGGAGGTCTGACATTTGTGCTAGAGAATGTGGGTCACCATGCATTACACAGGGTGATGTGCTGGGCTGACAAGAAGGCCCTGGTGGCCTCTGCTCCAGCATCCAGCCTGTCCCTGTTCTCATGTCCTGGGTCCCCAAAGCCCACATGCCCGCTCTGTTGCACATGAGTCTGGAAACCACACGGGTGGAAGCCAGTTGTGCACTCTGGACCCTGCAGAGTGACAGGTGTGAAAAGGCAGCATTATTTCCGGCAGACCCAGAGTCTCCGGATGAGCCAGGCTGGTGAGGTCAGCCAGGGGTATGTCTGTGTGTTTGCGGCTTCCCTTGTTAAGGTCGACTGATTTCCTCTTCCTCCCTATCCGGTCCAGTTTGAGAGACACTGAGGGCCCCTGTTTAACCCAGACCACGCCAGGACTCCTTTGCGCCTGGATCTGAGACCATCAGTGGCTGGGGCCTCCTGGTGCCTGTGGCCATGGGCAAACTCGCTAGGAGATGTGGGTTACAGGGGTGCATCTCTGTCCCCCTCACTGGAATGGAATGAGGGCCTCATCAGACCGCACCCCTGAGATTGCAATTGCAGTCCTCGGGGGTGGGAATGAGCTGAGGCGATGCAGGCACGTGTACCAGGGCTGTGTGGGAAACAGGGTGTCTGCTGGAAGGCTTCCCAAGTGGGCTGTCGGAGCTGGGGAGCCTGTCCAGCTCGGCGGTAGTGTGTGGAAACAGTTGGCCGCCAACTTCAGTCTGGTGCAAATGAGCTTGAGAAAAATCAAGGGTGGGGCGAGGGTGGGGCAGTGCTTGGCTGCCCTTCCTGAAAGTCTAGGATCATTTAAGCTTCAGGCACCATTTGATCCAGAGGCTCAAATGAGTATCATCGGGACTTACCTCCTGCATTTGCCCTGTCTGACTTCTGCCCTGTGGGAATGCTTGTCAAAGTCTAGACAGTGACCCCAGACTTAGAGCCTCCCCACTTGGAAGGGAACGGAAAGGGACGTTTCTTATGATTGCTCTAGCAGAATTTCTGGGAGTCACTCTGGAAGGACCAGCTGGTGGCACAAATCTCTCTCTGAGTCAATGTCATTCCTGGAGGATGTTCTGATTGGCCAGGCTCCGTCCATGTGCCCTGCCCCTAGAGCCCAGTCAGGACAGTCTCTCCTGAGTCACAGAGTGGGGGAGAGGCTGTTCCCAAAGGAAGGCGGGGCGCTCTTAGCGGGGCGCTCTTAGCGGGGATGTGTGAACTGAGCCAGCAGGCTGCAGACCCCCTGCCCTGTGACTGGACAGGGGGCCCAGAAGGTAGGGGCATGGCCTCCTGGGACCTGTCCCTGCTGGCTCAGCCCTCCTTCCTGTGGGGCAGGGGTGGGGTGAAGAGAGCAGCGAGCAGGCTGGCTCCCAGGATAGGCAGAGAGGAGTCAGCAAGAATGGGCCTTGAAATAGGGACGGAAATGAACTTAATTAGACCTAAGCAGGCCATTCGTCTCCAGGAAGTGACATTCAGTTTTCCCTGGAAGTCCCTAGATTAAGTGGTTTCACAAAATGCCAAGGTGGAGGATAGATTTTTCAGTGTGGGAAGAAAAAAACAGTCAATCCAATTATGGAAATTTTTGTCGGTACCAGCCACTTAAGTGCCGGACTCAGTACTCAGGGCTGTGAGGACCCAACCCCTGTTACCAAGGACCTTGTGTGGGACAAGGGGAGTGAAGTGAGGCTAGAGGAGGCCGCTGAGCTAGTCTGGAGTAATAGAGGAGGGCTTCATGGAGGAGGTGGTTGCATTAAACCTGTAAGAATGGGTAGGTTCACCAAGGCAGCCTGCCCTTGGAGGGTAGGAGGGGCGCCAATGCCACTCGGCTTTACCTGGCTCAGCCATTGGTACAGGTTAGTGCAATCGAAGCCAGGGCCACCTCTGTGTCCACATTTGGGAAGCAGGACTACCAAAGATGGTTCTGGAAACTGCTCATGGTGCAGGCTGGGGGCAGAAGAGGAGGAGGCCCCCGCTTCAGGCTCTATGAGTCTACCTGCAGGAGTTAGAGAAGCGCAGGGATGTGGTCAGCAGGGACGACTGATTTGCTCCCCGTGCCTACAAGGCGTCTGCTCGTGTGTGTAACGTATGTGTGCAGAGGCTTTGTCTACAGACACACGCGTGCTCGTAAACCGAGCACACCAAGTATGTGTCCTATCCACAGCAACACACACGTGCATAACCACGCACACATAGCAACACACACGTGCGCACGTGTTGCTCTCAGAGCTGTGCATGTACAGGCATGGATGTCCGTGCACATGTCTGTGCCAGAGTGCGCTGTGTCTACACACATCCACGGATCTCTGCTGGCCACCTGCTGTGCCCGCGTGTGTCTGCAGACCTGTGGCTACAGCACATGTGTGCACGGAGGTCCGCGTGGATGCCTGCAGTGTGTGTACCTGCACGCACACGTGTGTCTTTGTGCCCCGTGGCCCCCAGGGCTCATCCGGCTGCAGGAGCTCATCATGGCCCCATCGAGATACAACATCCGCCTGAAGATCCGCCAGCTGCCCATCGACTCCGACGACTCCCGGCCGCTGCTCAAGGAGATGAAGCGTGGCCGGGAGTTCCGTATCATCTTCGACTGCAGCCACGCCATGGCAGCCCAGATCCTCAAGCAGGTGCGTGAACACCAGACGTGGAAGTGGACATGCGGGGGTGGGGGGGGGTGTCTGGGTCTGCCCGCCACCTCTCCCACCTGCCCTTTCCCAAATACTGGGGTGATGTCAGCCAGATCTCAGTCCGACTCCCAGCTCTGCCTCTTTCGTGCTGGGTGTCTTGGGCTGGTCACTTTACCTCTCTGTTTCACCAGCCACAAAGTAGACACAATGGGCATTCCACGCCAAGCTGGTGTTGAGGATGGGTGTGTGTCCCAGCCAGGCCCAGCCGCAGAGGGTGCCAAGCCGTGCGGTTTCCACCCCACCCCTGCAGGTGGGAGGCAGGTACAAGAGAGGTCCGAAGCTACACAGGAGCAGCCCACAGTGGGAGGCCCAGTGAGCCTCGGGTCCTCAGGGACAGCCCGCAAGGCCTTCCTGCCTCTCCCAGCCGTTCATCCCCAAAGCCGCGGACTTCGGTGCTCTGCTGTCACTGGGAGCGACGATGGGGGACGAGGATGCGCTAGCCCAGGGTGGGCCTCCATTCTGAGCACAGCTTGGCATGACTGGGGCTGAGAGCCAAGCTCTGCCAGCCACCTCAAAAAATGAACACCCCCTCAGCGGGTGCCGCAGCTGAAACCCAACATGCTCCAATCTGCGTCGGCACTTGTGGAAAAGGCCATGACCATGACATTGTCCAAGAGAGCATCCCTGGTGATTGGAGGAGGTGACACTTAACCCAGAGGTGCAGGTGACAGGCCAAGGGCTCAGGGGTACAGAGAGAGAGGCGTTGAGCAGGGGTCTGCCAGGGCTGCCAGAGCCCATGGGCGGCCTCTATCCCCATCCCCACCCCCACCTCCACAAAGGAAGCTCCTGTGCTCCGCAGTTTGAAGCCCCTTTTGTGGGTTCGAGTCCTGCTTTCTGCGTTGTACCCTAGAGCCAGCGGCCCAAGGTCCTCCCTGCTCTGTCAGTGGGTTAACGATCCTGCTGCACATGGCCACAGGCTTCAAGGAGACAAGGGAACGGAGCTTATCCGGGTGCCCAGTACACAGTGGGCACTGGGCATGAGGCACCTTTGCCATTGCTATGAAGAAACACGTGCTCCCCAGAAATCCCCCAACTATCCTTCTCCCAGCCAGCCCTGCCTAGCGTGTCCTTCCCTTCCCAGCACATGGAAGGGACTAGCAGTGACCTTTGTGACCTTGGCATACTAAGGAGTACCGTGTTCCAAGTGCATGTGGCTCATTGTCCTCCCAGGGAACTAAGGACAATTCTGTCGTGTACAGGTGAGGAACCTGAGGCTTCAGGGGGACATAATGAGCCCGAGCTCATCCAGCTAGCAAGCCTGAATTTACCGCAAGGTCTGAAAACTTCTAGAGTTGAAAATGAAGACCCTGCGCAGCTAAGCACAGAGTTAGGTGGAGTCGAGCTTGCCTGCTTACGGCAGGACTTCTCTGAGCTTCTAGGTGCTCCTTTGGCTTGTGAGTCCCCAAGGTGGGAGAGGTTGTCAGGTCATTTCTGAGTGTACCTAACCGGTGACATTCCCCCAGAGCACTTGGCGGGCCCAGCCCTCCCAGGAACTCTGAGGGAAGTGCAGTACACAGTCCCTACTGTTAGAGATTACACTACAGTCCTGCCACGTAGGCTTCTTGGTGGCATCTCGTCCACGGAGGTCATGTAGCCTACTTTGGGGTCAGACAGCCGTGGGCGAGCAGGGACAGCTGAGCCCTTCTCGGGGAGACAGGCTGAGGACAGACCCCTGCCCACCTCGGGCAGGCTGGGCAGGGAGACGTGCCCTCTCCGCAGCCAGGGCAGCAAGCACAGATGAGCCGGGAGCTGCAGAAGCCAGTCCCAGGCTGGTTTCCGGCAGCATTTCAGTCAGTGCGCAGGCCTGGAGAGGCGGGCCGGAGACCGGCGACCCCAACCACATCTGCAGGACTGGGAGTCCGTGGAGACCTGTGGCCCCCAAAGCCACATGTAATCTGTCCTAGGTGACTTTGCTGCATCCTCCAGGGCGAAATCCGCTGCAGCCTGCCGGCTGGTATTGCTGTCAGAAAGGGTCTCAGAGCACCAGCTGCAAGCTGCCAGCCTCCCCACCCCCCACCAGTCCTGCCCTGCCCTGCCCCCTCGCCCTCACCCCTGGGCCATGACAGGAGAGGGCTGTGCCAGGCTCCCTGCTCTGCTAACACTCTGCTCTCACGCAGGCCATGGCCATGGGCATGATGACCGAATACTACCACTTCATCTTCACCACCCTGGTAACGTACCTCTGGGTCCTGGCATGGCTGGGGCGGGACTCCCTGAGAGCAGGGTCTGGCCCAGCCTGGCGCCCACGGGAGACGTCACTGCTTCCGGAGGAGATCCGGGCTGGGCTTGCTTCCTAAAGCGTGGGTGTGCCCCCAGTTAAGGGCACACAGACATCTTTGTGACCTGCTTACTTTGAAGAAACTGCATGGTTTGCTGGACTCCCATAATCCACCAGGTTCAAGCCTTGGACCTGATGACTTGAAACACACTGGGCGCATGTGCATGTGTGCCCAAATCCCGAGAGGAGAATGGGGGAGGAGGGATTGTGGTGTGGTCATCCATCCTGGGGAGTGATTTCTCGCTTTCCGTCTCTCTCTCCAGGACACATACCCTATAGCAAAAATTCTCTCTTTAAAAAAAGAGAGAGAGAGAGACCACGTGGTGTTATTAAGTATGTGGAGCCAGTGTGACCACACGCTCTTTTGCTTACTGAGACCTTGGGGAGGTTTGTCCATCTCCCTGTCTCAGTTTCTTCCTCTGCACAATGGGCGTCTGCCTCCTGGGATTGTAGAGCCGTGAAGTAAAGTGCTGAGGGTGGTGGCTGGAGCTTGCGGAGCTCTGGAGGTACTCTCGTTATTGCGCCAGGATTCCCAGCTCCCAGACCAGGCTTCCCCACATGTGTCTCAGGCTTCGTGCAGCCATGACAGTTGCTGCTCTGAATGCCAATAACATCCATGCTGAAGCCTGCCCGCTCGCTGTCACCCAGGCCAGCCCACCTGCAGACTCCACATGAGTCCCGTCCAAACTCCAAGAACATTTAGGGCCATTTGAACCCATTAGGATAATTGGCTATGGCCTCAGATCAGCAAAATAAAGAAATTCCTGTGCCAAAGGGACACCAACACCGAGTCACCCTTCCTCAGAGCCAGGAGCCGTCAGCCCTGCCGGGGCCCTCTGTGTGGGTTGCCCCGCCCGGCCTGGGTCTGGCGCTGGCATCCCTACCATCCTCTCACTGGAACAAGCCTCCTGCAGGCTGTGTTGGCCCCGTGGCTGCAGCCTACAGACCTCCAGCTGCACTCGGTCCTGCATCCAGCTCCCTACTGACCTTCCCTGCTCGGCACCTGTGCATAGCTGAGCACTCGGGGTGACCAGGCCTGAGGCCTCCCTTGCGATGTCTGGCTCTGATGCGGCCGCCTGGTGCTCTCACCGCTGGCCATGGGGCACATGCAGAGATGGGAGGGACTGACGGCCGGGTGGAAGGTGAGGTTTGAGCCAGGCCTTCCAACCAGGCATCCAGGCAAGCAGATGCTCGAATGGGGTCTTGGAGGGTGAGTAGGGCTCTCCAAGAGAGGAAGGGATTCCACCCAGAGGGGCAGGTAAGCCAAGGCCGAGAGGCAGATGCTCTGCAGTGGCGTGTGGGAACAGGCTCGCTCTAGTGTCTGCAACCCGATGGTGTCCGTAACCCGACGGTGTCCATCTACTCCCAACGCCACGTCAAGTCGTAGCTCAAAATCAGCTGTGATGGGAGCACTTCCGCCACCGAAGCTGAAATGCTGCAAATAACAGCCTCGGCCCGAACGCTGGGTACCAGGCATCACTCCACCACTGCTGTCTCCCTCCCCGCCACCACGCACTGCTACCCGCACCCCCACAAGGCTACCCTGCACGCTCCCCTGCAAGGGCTCAGACCTAGGGGCCTGCCACTAGCCGTGCTGGGGGAAGGGGATCAGAAGCCACTGGCTGAGACCGGGAACATCTCCCAGGCAGAGTCCCTCCTAGATTTCCGCCCCTGCAAGCTGGCCTCCTCAGCCACTCTGTATCCTGGGAAGTCCTCAGAGGCGTAGGAGGAAGACACCAATCCCTGACATCTCACCTCTGTCCAGAGCCGACAGTGTAAGGGGACAGGACAGGGAAGGTGGAGTGAGGCATGTTCCAGGGGCCCATGGTCCTCTCCCCCATCACGGCAGCCCCCCACCCTGCCCTGAGCTCCTGGGGTGCTGAGACTGAGTGCTGGGCCCAGAGGTTCCAGCCACCCTTGCATCAGTAGCCCCGTCTCTCATCCTGCTGGCTCACCCTCCTGAGTTCCCAGCACCCTGGGCTGCTGTGACAGAGCCTGGAGCCTGGTAGGAAGACCGAAGGAGGGATGGGGACCCCTATGGGAGCAGGCAGACTGGACTGCCGTGGCACACCTGCTGCCCCGCCCCAGTGAGGGCAGCAGGCCTGGGGCAGGCAGATGAGGCAGGCGTCCCTGCTCCACCCTGCCTGGCCCTGCGCGGATGGCTAAGTAAGCCGGTAGTGCTCGCTGACCTCCCCACTGCCCCTCGTCTACACAGTGGACAAAAGTACATTGCGACGCTGCTGGACTCCGAGCCTCTCTTTTAGCCTCTTGGTTACAAGGAGCAGAACTCACTCAAGTAATCTCAAGCCATTAAGGGGATGGAGAATGGACCACCAGGCCACAAGGGCAGACCCCGGATGGGGGTTCTGGGTCCACAGCAACTCTGGGCCCCGGAGGCATCATGGCTCTGCTGCTCTGCACTGAGGCTCCTCTAGTCTGCTTGTTCCTCTACCCAGGCTCCTCCTGCTCGTTCCTCTGCCCAGGGCTCTGTCTCTTGCTCCCCTTGGCCTCTGCTCTCTCCTGTGGTCTCTGCTCCCTGGAGCCCTCAGCACGGCGTGGCCTCTGGGTGCACTACCAGCCCCCCTCTGCCTCTTCTCTGAGGGCACCCACTTTCCCAGGTTGAATTCCTGGGCTCGGTCAGCATTCCTCAACAGCAACACTGCAGGCATTTGGGCCTGGACAGTCCATCATTCCAGAATGTTCTGCCCTTCATAGAATGGTAGAATGTTTAGCATCCCTGGTCCCCATTCACCAATTTCCATTCTCAGTGACAAGCCAAAGTTACCACCCCATTTCAACATGCCCCTGTGGTGGGGGCTAGTCCCCAGCCAGATTAGAGAAACTACCTTCAGGACAGGTGACCTTGTTGACTACCTGAGGCCTGGCCCTGGGGAAGCAGGGGAGGGTAGGATGAGCTCACAGAAAACAGGCACAGGCCACCAAGCAGAAGGACTGGGACAATGGGAGTTTCCTGGAGAACTGGGTGTGGTCAGATCAGGAACAAAATCCAACCTCTCCTTCACCCGCCCAGAATGTGGTCCCCCCCACCCACCCATCTGTCTAGACAGGTTCTGTGATTAAACACCCCAGCCCCAGGACCCTCTGCCCAGCCCTGGCTCCAAATATCCAGTTAAGAGCATGTCTTCTGGGCTCAAGCCTCATGCCAGAGCCAGACAGGGTGTCTTGTCAGGGAGCCGTGAAGCGTCAGACCCTCAGCCCTGTGGCTTGGCCTGCTGCCCAGGACTAGGCTCTGGGGAGTGCAAGGCCAGTACCCCCCATGTTAATGCCATCGCCTGCCCCATCAAGGTCAGAGACCTCAGGGAAAGGGCGGCCCTGGTCCAGGGCCCTCCTCTAGCACAAGGCAGCGTCATTTCTCTTCCTTTCATGTCCTTAATTCAGCCCTGTATTTTCTTGTCTCTCCAGCAGCCATGCGCACCCCTCTGCTAGGTCCCGGGTACTGGGAAGGGCCCAACACCAAGCTCACGAGCTGGAATGCTCCCTCCGTGTATGGGAGGGCTCAGGGCTGTCCCCGTGACCTCCGTATCTGCAGGGCCCAGATGTCCCTGGCATATTGCAGGTGCTCGTTCTTGCCTGAATGGATGAATGAGCGGATGGATGGATGGATGCAGTAGAGTGGAAAGTGAAAGTGAGCTTCGCAGTCGGCTGAGACGGCGGACCCTGGCGCCGGGCTGCTGAGTTAGAATGAGACTCCCCCACTTCCTTGGGCATGCTATTTGACCTCTCTGTGCCTCATTTCCCCATGATCAAAGGGCGGCAGCAGGATTGTCAGGGTGAGGATTTATTGCACAGACATGGGTAAAGCAGAGACGGCGCTTGGCACTCAGTGCTGTGTGTTAAAGAAACTAAGTAACCCTGCTAATACTTGTGTGTGTGTGTCCTAGCGTACCTCATGCCACCCAAAAGTTAGAACCACTTTCCAGGGAGGTCTGACTCTCTCGGTTGCTAGAAAAGTAGAAACTGGGCCAGCCGGTGGCATGGTGGTCAAGACACCTGTGTCCCACATGACCTGCTGTGCTGCTTCAGTCCTGGACGGGCGGCTGGAGAACACACTCACACCCCTGTGGGTGCATGTGTATGCGAGTCCCGAGTCCTGGAAGGAGACCTGGAGGAGAAAGGATTGCAGTGCGCCTACGCCCCAGGAGGGAGGCTTGACCACTTTCTTTCTCTATCTTTCTTTGGTGCATGCATGTGCCCTCTGGCAATTTTTAAAAATTATTTATTTTTGTTTACATGTAATTGTTTTATTTTTAAATTTGCTACAGAGCATGTGTGCTCATCAGAGAGAGAGAGAGAGAGAGAGAGAAAGCAAGGCGCCAGGTCAGGATCCAAACTGCGGTTGGCCATGTCGGAGTCCAGCACCCCAACCACCATGCCACCTTCTGGCCCTGTGAAATCTGTTTAAAAAGGAAAAGAAGGGGCCGGCAGGCGGCATGGTAGTTAAGGGTGCTAGACTCCTACGTGGCCGACCACGGAGTCCCAGACCTGGAGGCTTGCTTTCTCACTTTCTCTCTCTGTCCTTCTCTGGTCTAATTTGAATGAATGAATGAATGAATGAATGAATGAATAATGAAGTTAAATAATTCTTTAAAAAAGAAATATAAAATAAAAGTGGAAACTTGGGAACCAGCAGTTAGCATAATGGCTATGTCACTGGCCCACATAGTCGACCACGGTTCGCGTCCCGGACCCGGTGGCTTAAAACTCATGCCGGGCACATGTGCATGTGTACCCAAGATCCCGAGAGGAGAATGGAGGAGACAGGATTGCGATGTGGCCATCCCCGCTGGGGGGTGATTTCTCGCTTTCTGTCGCTATGTCTCTCTCTGTCTATCTGGCGAGCGAGTGCGCCCTATAGCGAAAACCTCTCAAAAAAAAAAAAAAGTGGAAACTGAGGCTCAGAGAGGCAACTCAGTGAGAAAGGGCAATAGGGATCTGTCCTAGGGGAGCTGCCCAGCTCCAGAGCTGGCTGCTGAAACTTTGCTGAAATTCTCAGAACGTGGGCCTAGACCTGCTCTGGCCAGCTTAGAGTCCACACAGCACTGGCCTGTGGGGTCCTCCAGGCATGGATTAATCCCAGCGGGGTGCAGAGTCCCGCATTCCCCGGCAGCACCCACACTTTGCCGGTTCCAAAGAGCTCTCTGCCTCCACGAGTTTTCCTCTGCACCCCAGGTTGCCAGCAGTTTGTGCATTTCCATGTCTGATGGAGAGATCTGACAGAGGGAGGCCGTGTGACCTGCCCAGAGTCTCACAGCAGATCCATGACAGAGGCTCCTATGGCCATTCCTGCCCCATCCCTTCTTCCCCACACAGCTCTGAGGGCCAGGAAGAGAAGACCCTTCCAGGGAAGCACAGCCCCTGCAATGCAAGCCGTTCTGCAGTGGAGCGTGGGGCAGAGGGCTCCACCAGATATCTCCCAGCAGCCCCCCATGTCAGGGCACCAGCCGTGTCCCCAGGGTCCTCTCCCCTGCCAGCATCTTGCCCCAGGGTCCTCCTTGCAGCCCATCGGCTCAGAAAGCTACCTCCTGACTCTCCCTCTGCACCCTCTGGTCAGTCGTGGCTGTACTTGGGAGGGCGGTGGCCTTTGACATTTTTC